GCCGGTGCTGCCATTTCGGCGCTTACAGCTAGCAATCTACAATTGCTGAAAGATACAACACAGTGCAGTGCCGTAACTCGAACCCGGAACCCTTCGGTCACGAGCCCTGCCTCCTACCACAAGACTACCGTGCTTCCTGTTACAGTTCGTTTATTTTTCATTTTTGATAAAGATGTTATTATTATCAAGGGGCCGCGGTGCATCAGATCTGCACTATCACAAGGTTTTACTCCGGGAAATCCGGCTTTCCTCAACCACCTAAACCTGGCAAGTCATTAAATGACCATGTACAAATGTAGCTATTAATAGGACGTAAAACTCAAACAAACCAAAACCAATAATTATCATTATTTTAACAAAACAGTACAATGTATACTATCTCTATTTACAAGCTACTATCTGTCCAATTAAATTCTACTTTATTTGTTGATTATAATTCTATAAAAGGCAGTTAAAGATCACTGTAACGCCGTGATATCAACTTACTTGAAATTGTTGGTTTCCTTCGTATATGGAAGATCGAACAGGTATTGTTTTGGCCTGATACACGTATTATCAACTTTGATTTTACATTCATCTTCCTTAGAACCGCTTCCACTACCGCTACCTGAACCACTACCGCTACCAGATCCACTACCACTACCAGAACCACTACCACTACCAGAACCGCTACCGCTACCAGAACCACTACCACTACCAGAACCGCTACTGCTGCCAGAACCGCTACCGCTACCAGAACCGCTACCGCTACCAGAACCACTACCGCTACCAGATCCGCTACCACTACTAGAACCTCTACCGCTACCAGAACCACTACCACTACCAGAACCACTACCACTACCAGATCCGCTACCACTTCTAGAACCACTACCACTACCGCTACCAGAACCGATACTGCTACCAGAACCACTACCACTACCAGAACCGCTACCGCTACCAGAACCACTTCCGCTACCAGAACCACTACCAGAACCGCTACCGCTACCAGAACCACTACCACTAACAGAACCACTACCACTACCAGAACCACTACCGCTACCAAAACCACTTCCGCTACCAGAACCAATACCAGAACCGTTACCGCTACCAGAACCACTTCCTCTAGCAGAACCACTACCACTACCAGAACCACTACCGCTACCAGAACCACTACCACTACCAGATCCGCTACCACTACTAGAACCACTACCGCTACCAGAACCACTACCGCTTCCAGAACCACTCCCACTACCAGAACCACCACCGCTACCAGAACCACTACCACTACTAGAACCACTACCACTACCAGAACCGCTACCGTTGCCAGAAACGCTACCGCTACCAGAACCGCTACCGCTACCAGGACCACTACCGCTACCAGATCCGCTACCACTACTAGAACCACTACCACTACCAGAACCGCTACTACTACCGCTACCAGAACCACTACCACTACCACTACCAGAACTACTACCACTACCAGAACCGCTACCAGACCCACTACCAGAAACACTACCACTACCAGAACCGCTACCAGAACCCCTACCACTACCAGAACCGCTACCGCTACCAGAACCACTACCGCTTCCAAGACCACTACCGCTCCCAGAAACACTCCCACTACCAGAACCGCTCCCGCTACCAGAACCACTACCACTACCAGAACCATTACCACTACCAGATCCGCTATCACTACTAGAACCACTATCACTACGGCTATCAGAACCGCTACCGCTACCAGAACCCCTACAACTACCAGAACCGCTACCGCTACCAGAACCACTACCGCTTCCAAGACCACTACCGCTCCCAGAAACACTCCCACTACCAGAACCGCTACCGCTACCAGAACCACTACCACTAACAGAACCGCTACCGCTTCCAGAACCACTTCTACTACCAGAACCATTACCACTACCAGAACCACTACCGCTACCAGAACCACTACCGCTTCCAGAACCATTATCGCTTTCAGAACCACTCCCACTACCAGAACCACTACCGCTACCAGAACCACTACCACTACCAGAAACGCTAACGCTACGAGAACCGCTACCGCTACCAGAACCGTTACCACTACCAGAACCACTACCGCTCCCAGATCCGCTACCGCTAATAGAGCCACTACCACTACCAGAACCGCTACCACTACCGCTACCAGAACCACTAACACTACCAGAACCGCTTCCGCTACCAGTACCACTACTACTACCAGAATCGCTACCGCTACCAGAACCACTACCGCTTCCAGAACCACTACCGCTACCAGAACCACTTCCACTACCAGAACCACTACCGCTACCAGAACCACTACCGCCTCCAGAACCACTTCCACTGCCTGAACCACTTCCGCTACCAGAACCACTACCAGAACCGCTACCGCTACCAGAACCACTACCACTAACAGAACCGCTACCAGAATCACTACCGCTTCCAGAACCACTTCCATTACCTGAACCACTACCGCTACCAGAACCACTACCACTAACAGAACCACTACCGCTACCAGAACCACTACCGCTACCAGAACCAATACCGCTACCAGAACCACTACCGACTCCAGAACCGCTACCACTACCAGAACCACTACCATTACCAGAACCACTACCGCTCCCAGAACCACTAACGCTACCAGAACCACTACCACTACCAGAACCACCACCACCACCACCAGAACCGCTACTACTACCAGAACCATTACCGCTTCCAGAACCACTACCGCTTCCAGAACCACCCCCACTATCAGAACCACTACCGCTTCCAGAACCACTTCCACTACCAGAACCACTACCGCTACCAAAACCACTTCCGCTACCAGAACCACTTCCACTACCAAAACCACTTCCGCTACCTGAATCACTACCGCTTCCAGAACCACTACCGCTTCCAGAACCACTACCGCTACCAGAACCACTACCGCTACCAAAACCACTACCGCTCCCAGATCCGCTACCGCTACTAGAACCACTACCACTACCAGAACCACTACCACTACTAGAACCACTCCCACTACCAGAACCGCTTCCGCTTCCAGAACCACTACCACTATCAGAACCGCTACCGCTACCAGAACCACTACCGCTTCCAGAACTACTACCGCTACCAGAACCACTTCCACTACCAGAACCACTACCGCTACCAGAACCACTACCACTACCAGAACCACTACTGCCTCCAGAACCACTTCCATTACCAGAACCACTACCGCTACCAGAACCACTTCCGCTACCAGAACCACCTCCGCTACCAGAACCACTACCGCTACCAGAATCACTACCGTTTCCAGAACCACTACCGCTTCCAGAACCACTACCGCTACCAGAACCACTACCGCTACCAGAACCACTACCACTTCCAGAACCACTACCGCTACCAGAACCACTACCGCTACTAGAACCACTACCGCTTCCAGAACCACTACCGCTTCCAGAACCACTCCCACTATCAGAACCACTACCGCTCCTAGATCCGTTACCGCTATTAAAACCACTACCACTACCAGAACCACTACCACTACCAGAACCGCTTCCGCTTATAGAACCACTACCGCTACCAGAACCACTACCGCCTCCAGAACCATTTCCACTACCAGAACCACTACCGCTACCAGAACCACTTCCGCTACCAGAACCACTACCAGAACCGCTACCAGAACCACTACCACTAACGGAACCGCTACCAGAACCACTACCACTTCCAGAACTACTTCCATTACCTGAACCACTACCGCTACCAGAACCACTATCACTACCAGAACCACTACCGCTACCAGAACCACTACCGCTACCAGAACCCCTTCCACTACCAGAACCGCTACCACTACCAGAACCACTACTGGTACCAGAACCATTACCACTACCAGAACCACTACTACTACCAGAATCATTACCGCTTCCAGAACGACTACCGCTTCCAGAACTACTCCCACTATCAGAATCACTACCGCTCCCAATTCCGCTACCGCTACTAGAAACACTACCACTACCAGAACCACTACCACTACCAGAACCACTTCCGCTACCAGAACCACTACCAGAACCGCTACCGCTACCAGAACCACTACCACTAACAGAACCGCTACCGCTACCAGAAACACTACCACTACCAGAACCACTACCACTACCAGAACCACTTCCGCTTCCAGAACCACTACCACTATCAGAACCGCTACCGCTACCAGAACCACTACCGCTTCCAGAAACACTACCGGTAACAGAACCACTTCCACTACCGGAACCACTTCCACTACCAGAACCACTACCGCTACCAGAACCACTTCCGCTACCAGAACCACTTCCGCTACCAGAACCACTTCCACTACCAGAACCACTACCGCTACCAGAACCACGTCCGCTACCAGAACCACTACCAGAACCGCTACCAGAACCCCTACCACTACCAGAACCACTACCGCTACCAAAACCACTACCGCTCCCAGATCCGCTACCGCTACTAGAACCACTACCACTACCAGAACCGCTACCGCTACCAGAACCGCTACCGCTACCAGAACCGCTACCGCTACCAGAAACACTACCACTATCAGAACCGCTCCCGCTACCAGAACCACTACCACTACCAGACCCACTACCACTACCAGAACCGATTCCGCTTATAGAACCACTACCGCTACCAGAACCAATACCGCTTCCAAGACCACTACCGCTACCAGAAACACTACCACTACCAGAACCACTACCAGAACCACTACCACTACCAGAACCACCACCTCCACCAGAACCGCTACTACTACCAGAACCATTGCCGCTTCCAGAACCACTACCGCTTCCAGAACTACTCCCACTTTCAGAATCACTACCGCTCCCAGATCCGCTACCACTACTAGAACCAATACCACTACCGCTACCAGAACCACTACTACTACCAGATCCGCTACCACTACTAGAACCAATACCACTTCCGCTACCAGAACCACTACCGCTACCAGAATCACTACAACCCCTACCACTACCAGAACCGCTACCGCTGCCAGAACCGCTACCGCTACCAGAACCACGTCCGCTACCAGAACCACTACCAGAACCGCTACCGCTACCAGAAACACTACCACTACCAGAACCACTACCGCCACCAGAACCACTACCACTACCAGAACTACTACCGCTACCAGAACCACTACCACTCCCAGAACCACCACCACCACCAGAACCGCTACTACTACCAGAACCATTGCCGCTTCCAGAACCACTACCGCTTCCAGAACCACTACCGCTTCCAGAACTACTCCCACTTTCAGAATCACTACCGCTCCCAGATCCGCTACCGCTACTAGAACCACTACCACTACCAGAACCGCTACCGCTACCAGAACCCCTACCACTACCAGAACCGCTACCGCTACCAGAAACACTACCACTATCAGAACCGCTCCCGCTACCAGAACCACTACTACTACCAGATCCGCTACCACTACTAGAACCAATACCGCTACCGCTACCAGAACCACTACCACTCCCAGAACCACCACCACCACCAGAACCGCTACTCCTCCCAGAACCATTACCGCTTCCAGAACCACTACCGCTTCCAGAACTACTCCCCCTTTCAGAATCACTACCGCTCCCAGATCCGCTACCGCTACTAGAACCACTGCCACTACCAGAACCACTACCACTACCAGAACCGCTACCGCTACCAGAAACACTACCACTATCAGAACCGCTCCCGCTACCAGAACCACTACCACTACCAGACCCACTACCGCTACCAGAACCACTTCCGCTACCTGAACCACTTCCACTACCAGAACCACTACCGCTCCAAGAACCACTACCACTACCAGAACCCCCCCCACCACCAGAACCGCTACTACTACCAGAACCATTACCGCTTCCAGAACCACTTCCATTCCCTAAACCACTACCGCTACCAGAACCACTTCCACTACCAGAACCACTACCTCTACCAGAACCACTACCACTACCAGAACTACTACCGCTACCAGAACCACTACCGCCTCCAGAACCACTTCCCCTACCAGAACCACTACCGCTCCCAGAACCACTACCACTACCAGAACTACTACCGCTACCAGAACCACTACCGCCTCCAGAACCACTTCCCCTACCAGAACCACTACCGCTCCCAGACCCGCTTCCACTACCAGAACCACTACCGCTACCAGAACCACTACCACTACCAGAACTACTACCGCTACCAGAACCACTACCGCTACCAGAACCGCTTCCACTACCAGAACCACTACCGCTACCAGAACCGCTTCCACTACCAGAACCACTACCACTACCAGAACCACCACCACTTCCAGAACCAATACTACTACCAGAACCACTTCCGCTTACAGAACCACTTCCACTACCAGAACCACTACCGCTACCAGAACCACTACTGCTTCCAGAACCATTACCGCTTCCAGAACCACTCACACTACCAGAACCACTACCGCTACCAGAACCACTACCACTACCAGAACCACTACCACTACCAGAACCGCTACCGCTACCAGAACCACTACCGCTACCAGAACCGCTACCGCTACCAGAACCACTACCGCTTCCAAGACCACTACCGCTACCAGAAACACTACCACTATCAGAACCGCTCCCGCTACCAGAACCACTACTACTACCAGATCCGCTACCACTACTAGAACCAATACCACTACCGCTACCAGAACCACTACTACTACCAGATCCGCTACCACTACTAGAACCAATACCACTTCCGCTACCAGAACCGCTACCGCTACCAGAACCACTTACGCTACCAGAACCACTACCAGAACCGCTACCGCTACCAGAACCACTACCATTAACAGAACCGCTACCAGAACCATTACCGCTTCCAGAACCACTTCCATTACCTAAACCACTACCGCTACCAGAACCACTACCACTACCAGAACTACTACCGCTACCAGAACCACTACCGCTACCAGAACCGCTTCCACTACCAGAACCACTACCGCTACCAGAACCGCTTCCACTACCAGAACCACTACCACTACCAGAACCACCACCACTTCCAGAACCAATACTACTACCAGAACCACTTCCGCTTACAGAACCACTTCCACTACCAGAACCACTACCGCTACCAGAACCACTACTGCTTCCAGAACCATTACCGCTTCCAGAACCACTCACACTACCAGAACCACTACCGCTACCAGAACCACTACCACTACCAGAACCACTACCACTACCAGAACCGCTACCGCTACCAGAACCACTACCGCTACCAGAACCGCTACCGCTACCAGAACCACTACCGCTTCCAAGACCACTACCGCTACCAGAAACACTACCACTATCAGAACCGCTCCCGCTACCAGAACCACTACTACTACCAGATCCGCTACCACTACTAGAACCAATACCACTACCGCTACCAGAACCACTACTACTACCAGATCCGCTACCACTACTAGAACCAATACCACTTCCGCTACCAGAACCGCTACCGCTACCAGAACCACTTACGCTACCAGAACCACTACCAGAACCGCTACCGCTACCAGAACCACTACCATTAACAGAACCGCTACCAGAACCATTACCGCTTCCAGAACCACTTCCATTACCTAAACCACTACCGCTACCAGAACCACTACCACTACCAGAACTACTACCGCTACCAGAACCACTACCGCTACCAGAACCGCTTCCACTACCAGAACCACTACCGCTACCAGAACCGCTTCCACTACCAGAACCACTACCACTACCAGAACCACCACCACTTCCAGAACCAATACTACTACCAGAACCACTTCCGCTTACAGAACCACTTCCACTACCAGAACCACTACCGCTACCAGAACCACTACTGCTTCCAGAACCATTACCGCTTCCAGAACCACTCACACTACCAGAACCACTACCGCTACCAGAACCACTACCACTACCAGAACCACTACCACTACCAGAACCGCTACCGCTACCAGAACCACTACCGCTACCAGAACCGCTACCGCTACCAGAACCACTACCGCTTCCAAGACCACTACCGCTACCAGAAACACTACCACTATCAGAACCGCTCCCGCTACCAGAACCACTACTACTACCAGATCCGCTACCACTACTAGAACCAATACCACTACCGCTACCAGAACCACTACTACTACCAGATCCGCTACCACTACTAGAACCAATACCACTTCCGCTACCAGAACCGCTACCGCTACCAGAACCACTTACGCTACCAGAACCACTACCAGAACCGCTACCGCTACCAGAACCACTACCATTAACAGAACCGCTACCAGAACCATTACCGCTTCCAGAACCACTTCCATTACCTAAACCACTACCGCTACCAGAACCACTACCACTACCAGAACTACTACCGCTACCAGAACCACTACCGCTACCAGAACCGCTTCCACTACCAGAACCACTACCGCTACCAGAACCGCTTCCACTACCAGAACCACTACCACTACCAGAACCACCACCACTTCCAGAACCAATACTACTACCAGAACCACTTCCGCTTACAGAACCACTTCCACTACCAGAACCACTACCGCTACCAGAACCACTACTGCTTCCAGAACCATTACCGCTTCCAGAACCACTCACACTACCAGAACCACTACCGCTACCAGAACCACTACCACTACCAGAACCACTACCACTACCAGAACCGCTACCGCTACCAGAACCACTACCGCTACCAGAACCGCTACCGCTACCAGAACCACTACCGCTTCCAAGACCACTACCGCTACCAGAAACACTACCACTATCAGAACCGCTCCCGCTACCAGAACCACTACTACTACCAGATCCGCTACCACTACTAGAACCAATACCACTACCGCTACCAGAACCACTACTACTACCAGATCCGCTACCACTACTAGAACCAATACCACTTCCGCTACCAGAACCGCTACCGCTACCAGAACCACTTACGCTACCAGAACCACTACCAGAACCGCTACCGCTACCAGAACCACTACCATTAACAGAACCGCTACCAGAACCATTACCGCTTCCAGAACCACTTCCATTACCTAAACCACTACCGCTACCAGAACCACTACCACTACCAGAACTACTACCGCTACCAGAACCACTACCGCTACCAGAGCCGCTTCCACTACCAGAACCACTACCGCTACCAGAACCACTACCGCTACCAGAACCGCTTCCGCTACCAGAACCACTACCGCTACCAGAACCGCTACCACTACCAGAACCACTACCACTACCAGAACCACTACCGCTACCAGAACCACTACCACTATCAGAACCGCTCCCGCTACCAGAACCACTACCACTACCGGATCCGCTACCACTACTAGAACCACTACCACTACCGCTACCAGAACCGCTACCGCTACCAGAACCACTACCACTACCAGAACCGCTACCGCTACCAGAACCACTTCCGCTACCAGAACCGCTACCGCTACCAGAACCACTTACGCTACCAGAACCACTACCAGAACCGCTACCGCTACCAGAACCGCTACCACTACCAGAAGCACTACCACTACCAGAGCCACTACCGCTACCAGAACCACTGCTTTTTCCAGATCCAGTCTCGCGGATTATGCGGGATCTTGCATTGTTGTTGATATTTTTTGCCGCTGAAGGTATCTCTTCCGAATCAGTTTGAACATCTACGGCATCATTGATGTCTTCTGGATGTTTTATTTGTAGAGTTGATCCAGCAAACCCAATGAAAAGAAGGATTGTTGGTAGTATAACCTGAAATTTAAACATTTTTACAGCTTTAGGACAATATGTAACATAGAAAATGTATCATAACTGTAAACAACATGCCTTCTTGTCACAACTATCTGAAACGATCATCCAGTTTGACACGAGACTATATCAGCGATAAGAATACTGCAGGTTCAGCAATTGCTCTCAAGTACAAGTAGGATATCGGTTCAGAAATGATTCACAAGCACAGGTAAGAGGTTAGTTCAGAGATACCTCACGAGTACAGGTAAGAGGTTATATTAGTTTATAGATATTTTAGGAACACATGTAAGAGATCAGTTCAGAGATAACTCACGAGTACAGGCAAGAGGTCAGTTCAGAGATAACTTACAAATACAGGTACGAAGTCAGTTCAGAGATACCTCAAGAATAAAGGTAAGAGGTCAGTTCAGAGATAACTCACAAGTATAGGTAAGAGGACAGTTTAGAGATAACTCTCGAATACAGGTTAGAGGTCAGTTAATAGATGTTTCTTGAGTACAGGTAATAAGTCAGTTCAGAGATAACTCACGAGTACAGATAAGAGGACAGTTCAGAGATACCTCACGAGTACAGGTAAGAGGTCAGTTCAGGGATAACTCACGAGTACAGGTAAAAGGTCTGTTCAGAGATAACTCACGAGTACAGGTAAGAGGTCAGTTCAGAGATAACTCACGAGTACATGTAAGAGGCTAATTCAGAGATAACTCACGAGTACACGTAAGAGGTCAGTTCAGAGATAACTCACGAGTACAGGTAAGAGGTCAGTTCAGAGATAACTCACGAGTACATGTAAGAGGTCATTTTAGAGATAACTCATGAGTACAGGTAAGAGGTCAGTTCAGAGATAACTCACGAGTACAGGTAAGAGGTCAGTTTAAGGATAACTCATGAGTACAGATAATGATTCAGTTCAGCGATAATTCACGAGTACAGGTAAAAGGTCAGTTCAGAGATAACTCACGAGTACAGATAAGAGGTCAGTTCAGAGATAATTCACGAGTACAGGTAAGAGGTCAGTTCAGAGATAACTCACGAGTACAGGTAAGAGGTCAGTTCAGAGATAACTAACGAGTACATGTAAGAGGTCAGTTCAGAGATAACTCACGAGTACAGATAAGAGGTCAGTTAAGATTTAATTTACAAGTACATGTAAGAGGTCAGTTTATAGATAATTCACGAGTACATGCAGTTCACCCAATGTATTAAAGGACTTCAGGACAAAGGTGCGATTTCAAATCGACAAGTTTTTACGACGAATAGGTAAGATACAAGTTGTACGTTCAAAGGATGGCTATTTTTTTTAGACTTATAAAAAAAATTGTGAGTACGTGTAACACCCCACGGGAAGCTGTTACGTTTACAACAGTTTATAAAGGGAATACACACTGTTTTGTGTATTTCCCTTTTTTCCAGTTGGAGACAATTTCATGGGGCGGGGGTATTTTTTATATTATTATTCTATTGTTTCAATTTATTAACAATAACTAGCATTATAGATGTTGGTCAACCCCAAACAGATTTTTTTTTGTCTTGAATTTTCCCTTTCTTGATAGTAGCATCTCTGATTCAGCATATATGGCATTGATATGTTGTATTTAATTCGCTATTCCAAAGCTTTTTCTGATCATCATTGTTTTCTTGATAGATGTCGACAAGCCTACAACACCTGGTTTTAAAAGATGCTGGTTTGATGAAGACTTTTGTCGACATTATTTTCTCATTGCTATTTGTTTGTGCGATTGCAAGATAAGTTCCCCATGGGAACCTGTTATTATTTGGATTTTACTTTTAATTACATTGCTGATATCGTCGATTAGGCAGAACACGCTTTCCCTCCTGGAACATCTGATCTTTTCACCTAGTACTTTTTCAACCTTTTAATTGTGAATGTTTTTCCTTCGTGTTATTGATATTTAGTACAATGATAGTTTTTGTTAAAGCTTCCATATTTTTTTGTTTTTGTTTATGGTTCTACATTTTGTAATAACGTTTTGCTGAGTTAATGCTAAACTTCATATGATACATATATAAGCTTTCGGTCCATATACTGTCTTGGTATATGTAAAGTCGTATCATGTCTGTTGTATTGAGTCTGTGTATCATTATATAAAGTTTAACTGTGTCATTGTTAATGTATATCTAATTACACGCGGTCGGCAAAACCCTATATATCGTATAGATATTTCTATATCTTTACTGTGCATTTCTTTATCTAGTCACAGAGTGTCCTTGTATCTCTATATCTGTTGGAATTACTTCTCTGCCCCTTATACTCATACTGTGTATATGTACCTCTTTATTTACTCACACTGTGTCTGTAGTATCTAGTACCACTGTGTCTATGTATCTCTATATCTAGTCATACAGTGTCTATGTATCTCTATATCTAGTCATACAGTGTCTATGTATCTCTATATCTAGTCACGCTGTGTCTGTGTATCTTTTCATCTAGTCACGCTGTGTCTGTGCATCTTTTTATCTAGTCACAATGTGTGTATGTATCTCTTTATCTAGTCACACTGTGTGTATGTATCTCTTTATCTAGTCACACTGTGTCTGTGTATCTCTTTATCTAGTCATACTGTGTCTGTGCATCTGTTTATCTAGTCACACTGTGTCTGTGTATCTGTTTATCCTGTCACGCTGTGTCTGTGTATATCTTTATCTAGTCACACTGTGTCTGTGTATCTTTTTATATAATCACACTGTGTCTGTGTATATTTGTATCTAGTCACACTGTGTGTATGTATCTCTATATCTAGTAACGCTGTGTCTGTGTATCTTTTCATCTAGTCACGCTGTGTCTGTGCATCTTTTTATCTAGTCACAATGTGTGTATGTATCTCTTTATCTAGTCACACTGTGTGTATGTATCTCTTTAACTAGTCACACTTTGTCTATGTATCTCTTTATCTAATCACACTGTGTGTGTATATCTTTATCTAGTCACACAGTGTCTGTGTATCTTTTTATCTAGTCACACTGTGTCTTTGTATATTTTAATCTAGTCACAATGTGTGTGTGTATATCTATATCTAGTCACACTGTGTCTGTGTATCTTTTTATATAATCACACTGTGTCTGTGTATATTTGTATCTAGTCACACTGTGTGTATGTATCTCTTTATCTATTCACACTGTGTGTATGTATCTCTTTAACTTGTCACACTTTGTCTATGTATCTCTTTATCTAGTCACACTGTGTGTATGTATCTCTTTATCTATTCACACTGTGTGTATGTATCTCTTTAACTAGTCAGACTTTGTCTATGTATCTCTTTATCTAGTCAAACTGTGTGAATGTATCTCTTTATCTAGTCACACTGTGTGTATGTATCTCTTTAACTAGTCACACTTTGTCTATGTATCTCTTTATCTAGTCACATTATGTATATGTATCTCTTTATCTAGTCACACTGTGTCTATGTATCTCTTTAACTAGTCACACTTTGTCTGTGCATCTGTTTATCTAGTCACACTGTGTCTATGTGTCTGTTTATCACCGTGTCTTTGTATCTGTTTATCTACTCACACTTTATCCCCGTATTTCTTCATCTTGTCACACAGTGTTCATGTATAAAATACAGTTTGTTATGCTTTTTTGTTGTAATCAGGCCTCTATTGTAGTACAGTTTATTTTTATAGGCGAATATTGTGTTTTGACACAAAAAAATGTCATGTTATGTGTTTTCATATTTACATTATTTGCTGAGAACGATGAGTGTATTTGGATTATTTCATAATTGAGCTGATTTCTACAAGAAAAAAAGAGCCTCTATGTAACGAGATAGAATCAGACAAATATGACAATGGAATCATGTACGAACAAGTATTGGCAATGCAAATATGTGTCGATTCACTTACGGTAGAATAGTTAGCCTAAAATAATTATACCAAAAACATTTACAAATCCATCAGGATTCAAATAGCAAACAAAATGAATGAGATTTGTAACCATAAATTTAGGAGTAAGTTTCCCGTTCGTTTTCCGTGTGAGCGTACAATGTACAGTGAGAGTACCCAAATTTGAACGGTACCCGATCGAAATGGATCGCTTTAAATATGTATGATACAGCATTATTCATTTTGTAATAAAAGGAAATAGAGTATGCATTCCTAATCAAGATTTTATTAGTTTTTAGCATTTTGAGCGAGTTTCATCTGCCTACCTCTTCAACATTGTTCATAAACTAAATTGAAATGGAAAAAAAAAAGATACAGTACGGGAAAACATTTAATTATGAGATTTCTTATGTGCAAAGGGCCATAACTCTAGATAATATCCCGGGAAACGGTATGGTATGACAACATAAATATCCTATCATACTTCTAAACATTGAAAACTATATGTTCAAATAAACACTTTAGGCAATAAATGACTAAAGTTTGTCAGAGATTTTCAAATCTTTTTTGAAATGAAGAAAATTATTTTAAATGCTGTCAGTTATTTTCATAATCTGACTTACGTGATGAAGTGTTCCATTTTGGGTACTCGACCAGCTTAAAATTCCAAGTGAATCGGACTCGCTTAAATGAGCTCTATAAATAGACGTACGCTCTGTTGGTACCCAAGAAAATCATAAAATGAAGGCTAAAGGCATGTATTGTTTCATTAGATTAAAACAATTGTCTTCAGAAAT